AGATGTAAAATTGAAGAGTTTTTTAACCTTTAAAAAAGATCTCCATTTCATTTTAGAATATATTGTTCCTTACAGAAAGGCTCATTGTTCTTGCTACTAACACTGAGATGTTGGTGCATGCATCTCTAATCTTTATGCATCTGATTATTGCTAGTCATAATCAGTTGCACTTGGACCCTTGGCACCTATGTATGTCTACGAAGTCATAGGGTGGATTTCAATGGTAATGTTTATCACCTCTACTAATTAGCATGACATAAATTTCCATGCTTCCTATCTAGCAGCAAGCACAGGTGTCACTTTGGGTCCTGAGTCAAAATGAACAAGGCAAGTTCAGCACTTGCTGCTTGTGTTGCATTAGTGGAGCTTGTGGACTGTCTATCTGCCATTAAAGTTGTCAAGATGGTGCAATATGAATAACAAAAACATAGCTGGCTTAGGCTTAGAATTTTAGATTTTTAAAAATGTTTGTTGTAGTCCCTAACATCTCTTTCTTTAATTGTCCTTACCTAGCCAGAGCTAAGGGCAAATAAAGCACAGATTGCTGCTAGTTCAATGCATTTGTCCTTTCTTCAAAAGTTCAATTTTCTCACATTACCAAGACTGTTACTGACTTTCAGGCTGCATCTGGCAATTTCTGTGTGTTAACAAACTTACTCAATATAGTCCATCAATATCAAATGCTAAAGAGTTGTTTTACTTCTCCTTTGAGGGCATACAATGCATATTCACAGGGTTACCCATGGACTAGCACAGTAGTCCTCTGCAGGCAGGACTTGCAATTAATGGTTTGCAGAATGCCCACTTCTGTCTGTGTTGATACGAAATTTTAATAAAAAAATGCCTCATGACGTTTCAAAAAAAAAAAAAACTGTGATGCAGCAGAGCTCTAGCATATCCTCATTTTGCATGACTGAAGTTTGGACTCACTGATCACCAACTCCTAATTAGTATCTCCTCCGTTTCTGCTGGTATTCACCACTAGCTGCTCCCATGAGCTTGGCCACATTGAATGTCTCATTTAAGCGGAGTCCTCAGTATTTGACCAACGTATCCATACTCTCTTACACATTGAGAAACAAAGGATGAATGTTTCCTTGTTTTTCATCCCAAACATGACTTGAAATTGTGTGGGAGTTTAATTACGGCAACATGGATGTTTATAATATCTCTTCAATTTCCAAATTTGCAATTGCTAAATAACATCATGTTTAGCATCTTTTCATAATACATGCCTATGTGTGCATAAATACTGTATATATTTTTGTACAGTGTCAGTTCTTATCATTTTATATATAGTTGGATATTTTCTTATTTTTGATTTTTGAGATCTTTATATACTTGTGTTTATTTGTAATATTTTGGTCAGTGCCTGACTTATTTTTAACCTTTCAAGCATAACTTCTATCAGAAGTTTTTCATCTTAATCAAACAAGAATATCTTTTTATTTTCTTTTATGAATCCAGATGTTTCTTGTTATGCCTGAAGATGCTTTATTAAGCTCATGGTCCCACTGATTACTTATTCTGAATTTTAATTCAGGATGTACTAGGAATTGAACCCAGGACCTTGTGCATAGCAGGCAAGTGGTTTACTATGGAACTATAACCCATTGCCTGTTCTGGGATTTTTGCTGTGTTTTGTGTTGTGTATCTGGAATTTTGATCCATTATCAGGTTTATTTTTAATTAAAGATGTAACATCTCTGTACAGCTCACTTTATTCTTTTAGTCCTTGCTTCCTCCCCTCAAACATGAATGCCCCTTATTCCAGTAATATGTACTGAATTGTGTATTATTGATTGCCTATTTCTTCATCAGTGATCAGTTAACTACATTTTTCTGGCTCTTCTGCTCTCTTTTTTTAATCTCTATGTCATTTCTTTTAAAAAAAAAAACAACATCTTTGTGATTTTCTATGTATGGTCATGTTATATACAAATCCAGAAAATTTTCTTATGAAGAATTTTCATGTTGTTCTTTGTTTCTTTTGTTACATGTATCACACTTTAAAATCCGGCTGATTGCTTCAGTATTCTGACTTCCTACCTTGTTGAAAAATTGTCATCTACTGAGTCTGTGTTTTGTAAACAAAATTTTCTGATGCATGAAAATAAGCCCTTATTTTCGGTTTGTTCGGCTGTTTCTTTTTTCAACAAAAGTAGCCAATTCCAAGCTCCTGAAGTTGGAACTAAAATAATAAATCATTTGTATTTCTTTAACCTTTAATTGTCACTGTATATGGGAAACTGTGATCTAACATAAATAATACTTGTGCAAGAATTGGACATGTTCTTTTTAGTTAAGACATTGCTTTGAGATTTAAGTTAGTAATGACTGTGGTTGACCTGGGTGCAATATTCTTATACTTATCATTTTATATCCTATAGGCTCAACTTGCTTAGAGCTGGGTAGTTACAGCCTTGTGTTTGCTCAAGGGAACTGGAGCCTTATGGTTTGTTTCATTATTGATCTTCTTTTGATTCAGAACATTTTGAATCCCATACTTCTGAGGAATACATGTATACAAAATGTTGCTTCAAATCTAGGCAAGACCAACAGTCTTGAACTGATGGGATGAACAGATTCTTCAGTCCTATACCCACTGCTTCTCGTGAGTTCTATTGGATGTTCTGGGGATGGAGAAAGTGAGAGAATGTAGATTTTCTTTTCAATCAGGGTTTCTAATAGTTCTAAAATATCAGGCTGATTCATTTTAGGGTTTAAAAGCTCAGTTATTTTCTTCTTGCTTGTGATTGATACTTCATTATTTTACTAAGGAAAATCTTTGTAAAACACATTCTATCCAATGAAGGATAAGAATGCATAAAACTTTAGTATTTAGTGGCATAGCTACTTATGTTGCTACCTCAGACCTCTGTTGGAAACAGAATGTAGGGCTTTGTAGATTATCTGACTTGTTTTCACTACTAAAATAGAAGACAATCTACAATAGGTTATTTAAAATTATTTATTTGATAAGCACATACTTAGAAGAAGCATTTCATTACAACAGCATTGACATAGTCAATAACAATTTCCAGAGCTAAGATGCATCACTTTCAAAAGTGGCTGTAAATTTTTAGGTTTACAGTTGAATTAATATATAATATTGTACTCAGTATAAACCCTATAAGACATAAAATTAAATGAGGTTTTAACCTTTAAAAAAGATCTCCATTTAATTATTAAAATACACAGTTTCATACAGAAAAATTCATTTTTAATGCAATTAACACTAAGATGTTTGCGCATGCATTTCTAACCTCTATATATCTGATTATTACTAGTCATGGTCGGTTAATTTTGGAACTCCTTGGTATCTCAGCATGTATATAAAGTCATCAGGTAGATTTCAATGGTAATATTTTTCAGAAATACTAATTATTAAGGAGCAAATTTTTATGCTTTGAAGAATTATTATATTTTTAATTTTTTTTCATTTAATAACCACATGATTAGAAAAAGCATTTCATTACAGCTTTAAAATATTCAGTAACTCTCGAGAGCAAGGATACATCTCTTTCAAAAGTAGCTGTAAATTTTTAGGTTCACAGTTGAATTAATACAGTTATACAGTATTGAACTCAGCATAAACCCTGTAAGATATAAAATTGAATGAGTTTTTACCCTTTAAAGAAGATCTCCATTTCATTTAAAAATATGCTGTTTCCTACATTTTTAATGCTATTAACACTTATATGTATGCACATTTGTTTTTAATCCTTATGTATATGATGATTACTAGTCACAGTCGGTCACACTCAGAATCGTAGCACCTGAGTATTGATATAAAGTCATCAGGTAGATTTCATTGGTAATGTTCATCATCTCTACTATTTAACACAAAGTAAAT